TAAAAAAGCCAGGTCTGTGTTATGTGCTTGTAATCCTAGCTCTGGAGACTAGGGGTAGTGCTTGAGCTTGCAGGGATTGGGGGAAGAGAAGCCGATCCCTCCAGTCACTGTAACCAACTCAGCCTACTAGGTAAGTCCTGGCCAGTGAGAGAACTTATTTGTGTCAATAAAAGCATGGACAGCAAGTGAGGAATGACGCCCAGGTTGTCTTCTGCTTTCTATCTGCACATACATACATGGGCACCCACAGATACATGAAGACACACACCCATGTACACACCTATACACACAACAAACTATGAATGATGTTGCTAATAGTTATTGGCTAAATAGTTGGGCCCTGGGCTAATGTCTGTTTGGGCCCTATATGTGACCACAATTATTCAGTTTTATAGGCAGGAAGTAGAGGCTTACAGATATCACGTGTCATTTTCCCATAGTCACAGAGATGATAGACAGCAGAGCCAGAGCATGAACTTGGGCTGTCTGACTCAAGAGACAGCTCTCCCTTAAGGGATAAACTTCAAGTTTAAGTGAGATTTTATTTGTAGGAATGAGATGACAGGGAGACAGACTCCAAGGGCTGGGAACCATGTGTGTCTTGTGTACAAGGAAGTCGCACTTTTCCAGCATAAAGATGTGTTCTTTCTTTTTTTTTTATTTTCTTAGATACAGTATATCTCTCCTAGAAGCTTGGTGAAGCAGGGCCCCATGCATTTCCTTTGAAGAGCGAAAACTATTTTTTTTTTTTTTGCACATGAGATGCATAGTGAGTGTGTTTTCATTTTCCTCCCTATGCTGGTCAATAATTACGATGTGCAATATACAGTCGTTATATTTGTGCAGACAATGGTGATTTTTGTTGTTGTTTTCTTTTTGTTGTTGTTTTCTCTTTGTTTTGTTTTCAGCCTGGTGAATTTCAGTACTCCCTACCTGCTTACAGAGTGCATTCATTCTCTAACACCTGCTGAAAGATTAGGAACCTACCGGCAGGGATCAACCAGTAGGACTCAAAACTTTCCATAGCCTTTCCTGCCAAGCCTGTCAATCCCCACACATGAGAAGGAATGCAGCACTTTCAGGAGCCCAATAAATATTTGTTAAATGAGACAGGGACTGCGTTTTTGCAAATACGCACTGTAATAGAAAAGGCAGTGTGCATCCTGCTGAAGGCTTCTGAGAAAGAGAGAGGGTGGGCTTTATTCACATGATGCTTGCACTTTTCCGTGAGTGGCAGACTGGCCAGCTCCTAATTGCCTACCTGGAGGAACACTGTGTCTGCTAAATGCAGCAGTATTAATAGGCTTTAAAAAAAAAATCTGACCACCCCCCCCCCCCGGCCTGTGTTTCTATCTCCAGGTTGTATTTTTCTTTCTTGATTTCATTATTTGCAGTTTGGTGCATGTATATAACATAGTCTGATTATTCTGTCCCCTATCTGTACTCTCCCTCCCATCCCAGGTTCACGATTTTTCATTGTGTCTTAAAACCCACTTAGTTTAACCAAGGCCCAATAGTGTCACCAGTGGGTACACAGCTGAAGGCAATGACACCCCCCCCCCCGACTCTATCAGCAAATAGCTCAGCAATGGGAGGTAGGGTGCCTGCCCTCCTCCCCTTTTCATGCCTAGCTGTTAATGATAGGCCCATTTTTGTGTAGACCTACATCTGTGGTGATTGACTCATGGCAGTGTCTTGCCCAGAGGTAGACTTTTTCAGCTCTTCTCCCTATCTTTCCATCCTTACATTCTTTCTGTCCCGTCTCCTGAAGTGTCCCAGAGCCGTAGAGGAGAAGGCATGGATATCTTATGTGGGGCTGAGCTCTCAGCTGTCACAGATCCGTATCTTCATCCCTCGAACAGCCAAAGGTCTCTGTATTCACTCCTGTTCAATGGGCAGAAAGGCTTCTCTGTTTAAGGTTGAGAGTAATATATGGTCTATAGGCATAAACATAAATATTAGAAGGCAGTTAAGATATTTTGTCAGAGTTAATACTTTTAGCAAAGAGGCAGGATACAGACTTAACATGTAAGAAGTCAATAGTCTTTTTTCTACATATTAGTGATAATCACGACAAGAAAAAGAAAAAAAAACAGGGAAACGCTCCTTTTTGTGATGGCTTTGAAAGAAAGAAAGAAAGAAAGAAAGAAAGAAAGAAAGAAAGAAAGAAAGAAAGA